ACTTCCAGCTTGGCAACCTCTTCCGGCGCAACCCCCGCAGCCTTGGCCCTGGAAGAGTCGTACGACTTCTTTTGGCATTGGGCTTCGTGCCGTTTGCGCTGACAGATCCAACGGTGTGGAAGGTGATCTGGGGCGCGCGCACCATGCGCCCTCCCCCGTGTTCCTCGAACAGATCGTCGCGCCTCTTGTGGAGCGCGTGCCTCCGCTGGAGCTCGCGTTTCAAAACCAACGACAAAAAACAGGTCATGGATTTAAGTCCCTTGAACACGCCTTTGCCTTGGAGTTCGCAACGGCCTGCTTGAAGCTGGGCTTCCAAGCATGGATTAGTTCAGCCGGAAGGAAAGGACGGAACGCTGAGAAAGTCCTCTGCACCATGCCAATCCAAGCGCTGGTGTGGGTCACTTTGTTTCTTATAGAAATCCAAGAAGGGAATGATGGAAAAAACGGCCCATGGTTCACCGGTTTAATCAAGTTGCTTGGGTCTGTCCGTGAATTGGACGTTGAGCAGGGAGCGATCACGCGATCTCTGATTCATCCGCGCCCTTCTCTCACCAAGCCCCTCATCCCCATTCGAACAGCCCGTCATGAACCATTCCCAGTCAACGGACCTCCGGCTGCTCCTCACCCTAGCGAGACTCCCGGCACTGGCAATGAGCCTCGGACGGACAACGGCTTCCTTTCGGTCCTCCAAAGGCTCCCTGTCACTGTCCTCTTCCACATCTTCAACCACACGCACGCACCTGCACGACGCGCATATTTCCACGCACATGCACCACGCGTATTTTCCAACCAGGACTTGTGCCAGGTTTTTGAGCCCTTGCCGTCCACACAACCTCCACTCTTCCGGCCAAAAGGGTGGCATTTCCACAAGCTCTGGTGAAACAAGCTCACACATAAAGATTTTGGGATTCCTTCCGGTCGCCTATGTCGATGCGTTTTAGTAGGGAACCTCAAAACACAACCCCCGAATTTCAATTCACGGGTGCTCCTTCTCAGTTCAATACCTTTTTTCACCCTAAAGGTTAGTCGAAAAAAACTTGTTGGCTTTCCCTTGGTCCCTTTTTAAGGGTCCCGAAAGGTTACTCTAGGTGTGGGTGTGGGTTTCGGGGTGGGGGTGGGGGTGGGGGTGGGGGTTGGGGTGGGGGCCGGGGTCGGGGTCGGGGTGGGGTGGGGTGGGGCGGGGGTGGGTGTGGTGGGGTGTGCGTTGGTGGGTGTGGGTGTTGTGTGGGGGGGGTGGGTGGTGGGGGTGGTGTGTGGGTGTGGTGGGTTGGGGGGTGGGGGTCGGGGGGGGGGGTGGGGGGTGGGGTCGGGGGTCGGCCGGGTCCGGGTCGGGTCGGGGTCGGTCGGGGTCGGGGTCGGGGGTTCGGGAGGGGTGGGTGGGGTGGGGTGGGGTGGGTGGGGTGGGGTGGGTGGGTGGGGTGGGGGTGGGGTGGGGAGGGGTGGGTGGGGTGGGTGGGTGGGGTGGGGTGGGTGGGGTGGGGTGGGGGGGTGGGTGGGTGGGGTGGGGGTGGGGGTGGGGGGGGGTGTGGGGTGGGGTGGGGGTGGGGGTGGGGGTGGGGGTGGGGGTGGGGGTGGGGGTGGGGGTGGGGGTGGGTGTGGGTGTGGGGTGTGGGGGTGGGGGTGGGGGTGGGGGTCGGGGGGGTCGGGGTGGGGGTGGGGGGGGTGGTGGTGGGGTGGGGTGGGTGCTTTCACTTGCGATTCACATCAGGAGGACCCGCAGGCTTTGGTAGCTGCTTCTTCGGGACACCAGCCTCAACCGCACGTCGATGTGTGTCGTATTCAGTTTGTGCCGCCTCACGGTGCGTGGGTGCGTGGGTGCGTGGGTGAGCGCGTGGGTGCGTGGGTGCTTGCGTGCGTGCGTACGTAGGGTCCCTTTGGAGGCTCTGGCGGCTGACGTCCTCCTCCAGCCTCCACCACCAATCCCCAACCCCCATCCAACCACCTTCACCACCCCCCCCCCCCGTCCCACCCTTCCCACCCCCCACCCGCAACCCCCCACCTTCCCATCCCAAGCTTCCGCCTCGTGAGCTGCTGCTGCCCGGAGACTTCAGGCCCAGCGTCAGCAGCGCCGAGTCCACCTGCTCCCCCCGTCTTTTCTTAGGCTTTGGAACGGGTCAAAGGGAGGTTGTGCTCCGAACCACCCCACCCACCCACAAACAAACAAAAACAAACGAACAAACAAACAAGTAAGCAAAGAAACAAACAAACAAACAACAAAACAAAAAACACAGTCAAACAACCAACCAACCAGCCAACCAACCAAAAGGCCAAAATCAATCACCAAAGCCCGAAACCCCACCAAACACCCCAAACCCGCCTCCGCGCCGTGCGTCTCCATGCCGGCACGCAGCTCTGCTAGCGCCTCAGAAAATTCGGAGGAGCTTGGTGCTAGGCGCGGAAATGGACTCACAGAAACCAACTTGGCTGCTTGCTTGGTTGCTGGCTTGCTTCCTTGCTTCCTTGCTTGCTTGCTTGCCTGCCTACCTGCCTGCCTACCTGCTTGCTTGGCTGTGGCTGGACCCACCACAAACAGAGACAAAGGAAATTGTGTAGAGGAAATTGACCAAGCACCAGCAAGGATCTCCGGTAGAAGTTCCTGTAGCTGGTTTCTTAGACCGTTGACCCCCTATCGGCAAACCGATTCGGAGGAGGTCATTGGTTGACTAGCAGCTCGGCCAACAGCAAGCTGGGAATGACGTGATCCGACTAGGAATGGGTAGCCAACATGTTCCACTCGAAGGACATGCTATACCACTTGGTCAACATCCAGTGTGGCCCCAAAACCTCACCTTCGCTTTTCTGGGTGGATTTTCCTGGCCATGGGTCAAAATCCAAATCGTACCCCCAGTGAACGTTAGGGCCATTGCTTAAAAGAACAGAACAAACAAATAGGAGTCCCTTGGTTGTTCGGCCAATAGAAGGGGCAGTCACCCGACTGATGAAAGAAAACTTCCCCTTCCTGCTTCTTTGTGAGGCAGAGAGCGGGATCACCACAAGTTTCTGGGTTTGAGGTCAGAGAGAGGTGGCTCTCGGTCAAAACCAATGGGATCCCATTTTGGGGTAGGTGCACCACCCATTGTAGTCCATTTTAGTGGGGATTGGGATACAGTACCCAAGAGACTTGAACTTGCAGCTCGAAACACATCGAGTCAGAAGGCCCCAAAAGACACCCACGGCTCTTTTTGTTCACAACACCACTCACTTCCCGACGAATTAAATCGCTCTGCCCGGAAAGTGACTCACTCCCATAGGTGTCCTTTTGGGGCCAATAGATGGCCCTGGTAGATGATTAAACCACCAGGTAAACAAGGAATCGCCATCTATTGTTCGACCACAACCAAAAAGGAAACCCATGCTCTCTCCGGTCCAAAACTCCGTTTGTGAGGCCTGCAGCAGCATGGCCAGCACCAGCACCCGGTTTCTGGACGTGCGCGAGGCCGGCTGCCTCAGGAATGCTCTCTCCGGGTCAACAATGCGCCAAGCGTTGCGAACAACTTGTGATGGTTTAGAGGAAGCGCCTCAGATGGTCATGCTTCGGTTCAGTAGGGATCCTTACATTATACACCTGAACATTGCCTTGTAATGTTTGGTTGCGAATAATAAATGGGGAGTCAATACACAAAAAAAATAATATTCACACCCCTGAAAAGCAAAAGGGGGAGTTAATACACAAAAGTTTTTGTGAGGGGCAAAAAATCCGGAAAAATGTTCCCCAAAGAAAAGTTTGATAATTAATCCCTAGTTCAGTGCAACTGCTGTCTCTCTCTGCCCCGCCCGCCCCCCCCAACCTACCACCACCACCAACAAGGAGATGATGATTGAAGTCCCTGAAAAGGAAGTTTAACTGAGGTCCCCAACACCCAAATTCTTTATGACAGCCCTTACTAATAGTTGCACCCTGCCAAATTTTCAAGGGGGTAGTACAGGGAACACCCAGGAAGCCAATAATGAGATTTGTTTAAGGGGGGTTAATTGAGAAACGTTTTTTAGGACTGGGGCCAGGGATGCCTGCAAGGAAAAGGGCGTCCCTTTCCAAAGAACTACTGAGTGTCCCCAGAAAAGGAAGTTTCCTTTCCAAAAAACTACTGAGTCTCCCCAGAAAAGGAAGTTTAACTGAGGCCCCAACAGCCAAATTCTTTATGACAGCCCTTACTAAAAGTTGCACCCTGCCAAATTTTCAAGGGGGTAGTCCAGGGAACACAAAGGAAGCCAATAATGAGATTTGTTTAAGGGGAGTTAATTGAGAAAAGTTGTTTAGGACTGGGGCCAGGGAATACTAAACCAATACTAAACCAATTCTAAGCAGTACTAAGCCAGTCAGCAAGAATACTAAACCAATACTAAAACCAATACTAACCAATACTTACTGGAATACTACTTAGGGAAGACCCGGTCTGACCCTCATTTTGTTTTAGGGTTTCCTCTATTGACCCCCCCCATTTTGTTTGAGGGTGGGGGGCTCTATTATTCACTCCCCAACATTAAATGGTGGTGTCCCTTTATTTTGGTGGAACAAGCCATGTTTGAACTGGGCAAAATGTATCTTTTAAGGAGGCCTGTTCAGGCTGAATCTTTGCAGCTCACCCTGAGTTGTAGGGATGTCAGTATCCAAAAGCTGGTCCAGTGCTTTGGCAAGCAGCTTTGGCTCGAACAGCATTGGAACAAGTCCCGAAACTTGCTCGGATGACAGCATGCTGTCCACTGTCCATCATCCAATGGCGCAAACTGCATAAGACTGCGGTGCCACATCCTCGCAGATGCCCTTTCAAAAGCAGTACAGCCCCTGGAAGCATAGCAATCCCCAGTGTCCGGATTGAACAATAGATGGCATTGGCAAATGATGAGCACCAAACTGAAGCCAGTGGAATTTGTTCAGGGAACCCCCCCCCCCCCCCGCCCAAAAAAAAGAAAAGAAGGTTGCTTTGTGGCTTCCCCTCAAAACCAACCACAAGGCACTCCAAAAAGACAGGCCCAAGTTGACCGACGCACCCCGCTGATTCTCATAGGCTCCCTGGCAGCGGCCGCATCTTCTGCAGCTCGTACCTCGGGTAAACCAAGCGGTTTTGTTGGGGTTGTCCCTAGCAAACCAAGGGGTTTCTCGAAGCTTCCCTTGGTAAAAAGGGATTCCCTTGGTAAGCCAAGGTTTTCCCCTAGTAAACCAAGGGGATTCTTTTAGGCAAGTTTCAAGAGTGCACCAAGAGGTCCTGTAAATGAAACCCTGAGATATCTGGTACTCAGTTTGTTGAAGGTAAACCCATGATCGAATTCTTTCCGGGGGAAATATCTTCGCTATCCGCCCTCGTAAATTTAACTCTGAGACGCGAGCCAGGGGGCATCTTTTGATGTTCGCCTCTCTCAAGGGCATGCGCAAGCACTACCAGTGAGTCACAATGACAACCTGGAATTTAAGTGGCCTACCCAAACCAATGTCACCAATGGAACTTGGGTGAGCGCATCTTTTAGGGCTGAAGCTCTCCCTCTAACCTTCATCTACTTTGTACCCGGGCCTTGATGCCTGTGACGGAAGAGCACTCTGACCCGCACTTACCATACTTCAAGCTCTCTCGGACCTACTGGCAAGCACCAACCTCACCACCCAATCCACCCGCCGACCAATCCACCCCTACTCCCCTCACCACCCCACCTACCACCACCCACCCACCACCACCCACCCGCGCACCCACGCAACACCCACCCACCACCCACCCACCGCCTACCTCCGCTGACAAACCGGTTGCACCATTTCCAAACCGCCCGTCTCACCTTCCGCTTGACCCAAGGCACGTCACGGAGTCCAGGCGCCGCTCCAACTGCCGCACCGCCGAGAGACGAACCACCTGCCGGCCGCAGGTGGTTTGGTCGGAAAAACGGTCTGGTCTTGTTGGGTTTCTTTTTGGGAAAACCACAAAGGAAACAGGTTGCCATGTCTTGTTTTTGGGAAGGGGGGTCAAATTGGGGAGACAAAGATACTCTTATTGCTTTTGTTGGAACTGTCTGTTCTTGTTCGGTGTCTCTTGGGAACCCCCAAAAAATAGTTGCCATGTCTTGTGTTTTGTTTTCTCGATTGATGCTGTTCTTTGGGGAGACGAACCTCAAATCACATGGGCCGGCCCGGGAGCAAACTCGTTGGGATCACTTCCCGAGTGTAGAAATCTAGAGAGTGTCCCATGTCCTCCAGACATACACTATTCGAAGTGTTGACTGAAACTCTGATGTGAAGAGGAAGGGCTTGGACCCTGCGGACCACCAACCATGTGTAAGCCAGCAATATAAGGTCCCGCAATGAACATGGAAAAACTTGTGGCTCCCAAAGTGCTCCTCACTGATTGGCCAAAGACTAGATCGCTTGTTTATGGTGCAGAGCCTTTGTCTGATGTGTTTGGTTGGTGGCTGCTGCATAGCGTTGCAAGGACCCTGGCACTTCTTTTGCGTTTATTTGCCTTGCGTTTTGCGTTCCCATCCTTCGAAGTTGTTCTGCTCGAATGTCATCCACTAGCCACAAGGACATGCCGAGACCTGCGGACAAAATGACTTCCAAAAAACCCAGTTTGGTCAAAGAAGTGGGGCCTCCCGCAAATTTGTAGCATCACACCGCCATCCCTGAAGGGAGGATCCCCAAATCGGTTCTGCGTTATTGGCAGGCACTGTCTTCACCGGGAGTGGTCGTTGAAAGGAATACAAATACACCATGCACGCGTGCGGGCAGGCTTAGTCTTTTTACAGTCCAATGGGACGAGAGAGAGAGAGAGAGAGAGAGAGAGAGAGAGAGAGAGAGAGAGAGAGAGAGAGAGAGAGAGAGAGAGAGAGAGAGAGAGAGAGAGAGAGAGAGTCAGAGGGAGAGAGAGAGAGAGAGAGACAGAGAGAGAGAGAGAGAGAGAGAGAGTCAGAGGGAGAGAGAGAGAGAGAGGGAGCGTGCGCGAATTTGCATAGACCCTGAGTCATAAACAAACCGCACCTCCAACAAACGTTGGGCAAGGCGATGATGCGAAGTATAACAACCCCATACCTGTTTTATGAACATTTGACCTCGCAAAAACTAGGAAATCCCGCGAATACAATGCTGGTGATCACGCAGAGTACGCCAATTCAGAGCTTTTGTGATGCTGGTCAAGGCGATGCTCCTTTTTTGAAAGAGTAGCATATTTCTGGATTACGGAGATCTGCACAAGTAGGGTTGCCATGATTTCTGCGAATGGCAAGGTCTAGTCCAAGAAGCATCCTCCGCACTTCCAAGATCCTCGACTGCAGGCAAACAAAAACTCCTGCAGGAAGCCGGACCTGCTCAGTACGTCAGCTGGGTATGGGTCAATTTCAACCCCCCAGGGGACCGCGGGTTGTAGTCGATGTGTCTATTTACCAGGGCTCCATTTTGGGTACCTATTTTGGGTGCCTATTTTGGGTACCTATTTTGGGTACCTATTTTGGGTACCTATTTTGGGTACCTATTTCGGGTAATTACCTATTTCGGGTATCTATTGTTGTGTCTATTTTGGTAAATGGAAACATTTTGACGAAAACCAGCGGTCCAATTCCTGGCGGTTTACATTTGACCCACAGCCACCTCTCCCCGTTCGCTCCCTCTGTTCCTTCGACCGGCCCCCGCCCCCAGCCGGTCGGGGCCTCCCGCCAGTCCTCCTTGAAGGAGCGCAGGGCTGTGAAGGCCGCCGCCATCTCGCGAGAAGCTGCTGTGGTGGTCCAAAATCGGGGAACCCCAAAATGGAACCAAAAATAGGGCAAAAGAAGCATCCAAAAATAGGTATCCAAAAATAGGTATCCAAGAATAGTATATCAAATAGGTAAGAGGAAACATTTGGACTAAAAGCTGCGGTCCGATTCCTGGTGGTTTCATTTTGACCCACTGACATACGGAGGGACGACATCAAAGTCACCCCCTAAGTGATGGGTTAAAGGGAAACAACCGCAATGACTGACTTTGATAACCACCCAAAACCGGCAAAATCACGACCCCAGAACGACTGTGGGAAGTCTGGCGCGGATAAACTGGATGTAGAAAAAAAGACCGCCCCACCAAGCCATTCTTTGGATTCAAGAATCGCAAGTGGGGTGCCAAGTCGAAGACAAACCTATCTTCACCGAGCCGTCAGCATCCACCACTTCCCTCCAACCTGCTCAACTCTTGCCTTCATGCGTTTTGCTGGGCTCCTTTGGGCTAAAACCACCCGGTACCGGAGTCCCGAGGGAAAATCTGTCACCCCAAAGAACCAAGGACGGAAGCGGCAAGGATCCGCATTCTGCGGGTTGAAGCTTGGGAAAAACGCCGACCAAACAACAACACACGTGCCTGGAAGCCGTCCAAAGATTGGGATTTCGGACTCAAATCCCAAAAAGCGTTCGTAAGAAACGTGTTGGAATGCATGCAAACACAAAAATTTGCCGTTCTGCGTTACCTATTCCATGACCGGCATCCCGAAAACGGCCTCTTTCAGAACTCTCCCATGACGTTTGATCCGTCGACCGGCCTCCGGCGCGCGAGGTTCCGCACCCAACACCTCAGGGCGAGTGCTTGTGACCGTGGAGCACGCGAGTTGACAAAACTTGCTGGTGCGATAGGCAGGGAATGAGGGAAGGAACCCTACAAACCGTCCCTTGCGGTTTCCTTTATGGGAATCGCCAGCTTTATTCCCGCATTCCCTACCTATCGCACCAGCAAGAAAATGGTGACCCTGTTGGGGGTCCGACCTCCTGCGCCACACAATGAACAGCGCGTGCAACCGACCATAAGCTTCCTGCCCGCTGAAAGACTCCCCGGCCCGCAAATTGCCTCTCTGTCCAAGGATTCTCCTAACGAGGCCACCCAAAAAACAGCTCAGAAAACTCTTTCTTGTTGAATTCACACAACCCTCTAAAATGGTCCCTCCAAATCACTCTCCGGTTCAAAGAACGGGTCCCCTAAAACCGCACCTTCCCGGGCCCGCCGCCTACACCCCGCGTGTCCTTCTAGGCCCCCGGCCGCCTGCAGAATAGGCTCCACCAAGGCGGCAGCACGGGGCAGGCACAGCTGGCGAGAGCGGCGCTTCGTGGGGCGTTGCTCGTTTCAGGGGGCGCCAGGGGCGCCTTCGAAGCAAAAAAAAGCTCCATAGGACTTGATTGCTGTTGACCCCCCTGCAAAAAGTGTTTAATCTTCTGGGGGTGTAGTGGACAACCCCTTGATTTCAACCAAAAAGTCAAAGTCTAAAGATCCAACCCAATAGCAGTCAAGAGAAATGACGGGGCCTCTTCTCAGTGGCAGCGGACGGTCCGTAACAAATGACCGTCTTCACAGTGGCAGCGAGGAGTTTTTCAGAAAAAAAAGGGGAGGAGAAGCAAAAAGGTCGCAGAGATGTGCAGCGTGAGTTGGACTCACGGAGATATGTTGGTGAAGCCCTGGCTTTCCCGTCCGATCGTCGAAACGACTCCGCACCAACATGAAACAGACCCCCAGGCCGGGAACCTTCATGGCTGATTTTTGGTGCAAACCTTGCGAGGTTCCCACCGAAGAAAAAAAATGATGGAAGAAAAAGATAGCAGGCGCCATGTTTACAGCATACGAGCGTCGTTTCCTTTGCAAGTCACGTGCAAAGAAGATTTGCCCATGGACACACGGCGAAGGCCCCTTGGGCACCCCTTGGCACCTGAAATAGTTGGATGAGTTGCGGAGAGTCGAATCCCGAAGGCGGACGGAAGGAGGGCTCTTTAATCTCCCGTTTGAAGTCTTCGCATTGCGGAGTCCATGTCGTTCTGAACATATCCCACACCAACCTGAAATCGCCCGATCTGCGTGCCCAGAACTGCAGCGCCATACCCAACGAGCCCAACCAGCCCACCAAACTATGGGCCTGCAGCACCCCCCGCAGCTCCACAGTGAAGACCTGGCGAATGCGGAAAGCCGCTGTGACCCGAAAAGGGCAGGGCCCAAAGAATGGTTGCCTTGGTCCTCAGCCAAAAAAGTGGAAATGACCCAAAAAAGTGCCCCTTACCAGATCCATCTTGATGATGTCAAAAAGCGTCGCCACAATGCCAAGCAATGCCAAGCCCACAGCACGTAAGAACAGCTCTGGGAAGTGCCAGAGCTTGATTTGTCGCAAACCGCTGACAGAGATTGAGATAGGAGGGATAAAGAAAGAGAAAACGGAAGAGAAAGAAAGAGACAGAGAAAGAGAAGGAAAAAAAAGATAAAGATAAAACAGAAAGAGAAAGGGAGACAGAGAGACAGGGAAAAAGCGGGAGGGCGGCAAAGCGGGAGGAATGGAGGGGAAGAGATCCAAGATCTTGAGAGCTTTGCGGTTCAGATGGCCATGGGTCAAAAGCCCATGGAAAGCCCCCAGTGAACATCCGATTCAATCCAACCACTAAACTAGGAACCCCAAAATGGGTGGTGCACAAATCCCCCAAAATGGGATCAACCAAAACGGTTTGACAACCACAGCCATATCAAAAGAAAGCTGTGGTGGTTGCTGCCGCTGCGAAGCCTTGCTATTTACGGCAGTGCAAAACGGTTTTGACTCAAAGCTCTCCACGCCCCCTTTCGACGCGCTTTCGGCTTTCGACGCATTCACCTCTGCCGGGCTCGCGCCATCCGCGGCAAAGAGAGGGCGGTCGAGCCTGGGGCCCAAAAAAGCGATCGAGCCTGCGTCACCATATGGCTGTGGTGGTCAAAACCAATGGGTCACCCATTTTGGGGTAGGTGAATTCACCACCCATTTTTGTCGGGATTTTAGTTTGGATTGGGATGTTCACTGGGGGTACGATTTGGATTAACCCATGGCCATATCCAGCCTTGCCACGGCAAGGGGAGCTGAAGCAGTCAAAAAGGTTCGCTTTGACTAAGTTGAATTGCGCCGTTAATGGCCATGCAGGGTGTGAGTGAGCTTTGCGTGGCTCGTAAAAGTTGGCGTTGAATCAGTGTTTGACAGGCCATCAACTGGAAACAAGTGCTGGTCAAACTTGCGTGGCGATTCCAAACTAGATCCCAGCAACGCTTCTGCGCACACCTTCAAATCTTCTAATCGCTGTGTCCCTGGATGTTGGCAGTTGGTAAGACTGCTTCTTCTGTCCAGTGTTACTATGACTTGCATGGCAAACGTCTTGTAAATTGAGCGAGGGATGGGGGTTCATGTTCATTGCTTTTTGAAATCGCGAGTGTCGTGGTTTGCAATCAGCAAAAGCGACGCTACCTTGCTGCTTTGCAATGTTTCCCTTGTGATGTTCCAGTGAAGGAAACAACGGCCAGAACTCGCCATGCAAATGGTTTTTGAGGGCTTCTCTCCCAGCTGTGCATGTAATCCAAAGAGGCCTTGACCATAGGTCCCAGGGTCCTAGCAACTCCTGCTTCAAGTTGTCATTCTTGCGGAGAGCCTGGCATTGCGTTGGTGGTGCATAGGCAAAAGTCTTGGGAAGAAAAGTTCTGAAACAAACCAGAAACAAACAAAAGACCAAAAAGAAAGGTTTGGCACCAAGTGAAACCAAGACAAGCATGGCCATGCCCCCTTTCACAGGGGAACGGAGCCTCCTGGTAGGATCAATCCTACGAATCCCGATGTCGCAGCCCGGACGCATGCAACCCAAGCTTTGCGAGAGAGCAAACTCGAGTGCTTTTTTTCGGATCAACTTGGGCTTACCGCAAGGGCGTGTCTGGGAAAGCACAAGTGACAACCTGTAAATCATAAGGCCCGAGAATTCAACATGCAAGATGCGTCAGAATTAAGGGCAGCGGAATGGCAAGCTCTCCATTTGCCCGGTTCATGATCACCTCCTTAAAGCGGAGAAACGCAAAAACCTGTGTGACTTTAGAACCAAGATCACTCATCCTTCAGACCAGCCTACCTTTCAGATTTCCCAAATCCGATCCAAAGCAACTGAAGCAGAACCCACGAAGAACTTGGATCACAAGCCTCAACCAGATCTCCATCATCTCAACCAACCTACACGCACACACAACACAAAACCCACCTTTTCAGGGTACCATCTCAATCCTTTAACAAGCAAAAGAGGTATTTGCTATGGAAAACCAGGCTGTTCAAAACACGCCTTTTGAATAAGCAGGTTTTTGGAGTAGGGGGAACCCTACCCAACATCTCTCCACCCCCTGGCCTCCAAAGCTTTTTCCAAGGCATTGCTCCGAAGGAACAGCGCCTCGCGATTTGTGGGAAGCTAGGAAGCTATGTCTGCTGCTGATGTGGATCTTGCTGATGGCACAACTGATAGCTCAGATGGGGCCGACTTGTGGACTCACTTCTCAATGCCCACCGGCCAGGTCAGACATTGCTTGAATTGGACTGATGCAGGTGCCGCTGGCAACCCTGCCAAGGGAAATTGTGTGGACATAGAGAATCTATCCCCGCTGCATATCATCACCTTGCATCCCCAGCACTTGCATCCCCTGCATCATCTGCATCCCCTACATCCCCACATCGCCTGCATCACCGCATCACCCGCATCAACTGCATTAACTGCATCATTTCCTGATCACCTGCATCCCCTGCCACGCATCAACTGCATCACCGGCATCACCTGCCTGCAAATCTCCTGCATCTCCTGCATCAGCTGCATCACCTCATAAACCGTCTGAATCACCTGCATCATGGGCTTTCTCGGCACCACATCACAGAAGACTGTCAACATCATCATCAGCAGCACAGTAAAGTCAGCATCAAGCATCAAACAGCCACAAGCTTGCAACACAAACACCATCCACACTGCGTTCAACCATCCTGAAGCAACAAAGGAAACACCTGCTCTTATTTTCCATTTGCGTCTTGTCTCGATAATTGTCTAACGCATCCATTCCAATCTGATCGTCCCAGCTTGTCGTTTCATCTATTTGTCTTCTTGTAATTTTGTCAAATTATTGGATGTTTCTACGACATATCATTTGTTTCTGATTGTCCTTTCATCTATCTATCCAGTGTGTCTGTCTGTCTATCTATCTGTTCATCATCCTTTTGTATGTCTTGCTTGCGTCTTTACTTCGTTATCTATTGATGTATGTATTCATTTACTGACTTATGTATGTCCTTCCTTCCTTCCTTCTTTCTTCCTTTCTTTCCTTCCTTCCTTCCTTCTTTCTTCCTTTCCTTCCTTCCTTCTTTCTTTCTTTCTTTCTTTCTTTATTTTCCTTATTTATTTATTTATTGATTTTCTTTCTTTCTTTATTTCTTTCTTTCTTCCTTCCTTCCTTCCTTTCCTTTCCTTTCCTTTCCTTTCCTTTCCTTTCCTTTCCTTTCCTTCCTTCCTTTCCTCCCTTCCTTCCTTCTTTATTTCGTCTTCCGTCTATCGCTAGCGTTCTGTCTTTCTAGCTTTCTATCTTTCTATCGTTCTGTCTTTCTATCTATGTATCTATCTATCTATCTCATCTAAGTATATCTGTTTGCATACCCACTTATACATCAATTCAGCTGTGGACCTATTCATCGATTCTGTATTTATGCGCACACGCCATCCTTCAATGCCTTTCTCAAATGTGTGTATGTATATATATATATACATCCACCATGGGCTCATATGTTCAAAAAAAGCAATCGTTCACCTCTTTGCCTGAGCTGCAAAAGCTCAAACAAAACAGAATTACGGCGTGAAGCCGTCGCGGGCGTCAGCTTCTGCCCAGTTTGGCTTAGGACCCACAGGGACCCTTTGAGAATCGGGAAAGGCACAAGCAAATCTTTTTGTGCATCAAGCAGGTGGTGGCCTTCCGAAAATGCGGCTTGCATTGTGGTGCGTTTGAATCAGACATCCACAGGCCATGTTGAAAGGTCGCTTGCCTTTGACGGCTGTTGTGGCCTAGATTCAAGGAAAAGAACTGTGTCCCCTTGAGGTAGGTGCCACGCGTACTCGAATGATATACCTTAAGCTGTGTCGAGTCCCAAATTGACGCAACCGCCGCACGTTCACTAACTCGAAGCGCTACGTTCTGGATTCAACCCATGAAACATGAAGAGGCCAGAAAACTGCACATTCTGGCTGCTTTCCGGAGGTGTCAAGCCGTCAAACGTCTGGAAACTCCCATCCTTTCCAGCTGCATCGGCGCTTGATGCTCCAAAATAGTGCTGGTTTGGGAAAGAACATTGTAACATGGTCATACCTCAAGCCAATAGACCCTCCAGAAACATACTAGCGATCCTCTCTTAAAAATAAGAGAATCCTAGGAAGCTTGACCTCACTCTGAAAACCACCGTGGATGCCGAAACCAACTATGTTTTCAACTATGGAGCTCACCTGTTGATCCCTTCTTTCAGAGACCACGTTCCTAGCACCATGTTACAGCAGAACCAGATTACATGCTCCACCTGACTGCTGTCTCCGCCGTAATCTGGATCACCCCAAGTCACAACAGCCCCAGATTCAAGAATGGCAGCAAAGGCACCAGAACCTCAGCTGCTCTTGCACCTGGCTGCTGTCTCCCGAACTCTGGATCACCCCAGGTCACAACAGCCCCAGATTCAAGCACCGCAGCAAAAGCATACCTAGTGGCTTGGATGTGCTGGACATTCCTCAGCTGCTCTTGCACGTGGCTGCTGTCTTCGCCGTCATCTGGATCACCCCAGGTCACAACAGCCCCAGATTCAAGAATGGCAGCAAAAGCACTTTCAGTTGCTTGGATGTGCTGAACGTTCCTGAGCTGCTCTTGCACCTGGCGGCTGTCTCCGCCGAACTCTGGATCACCCCAGGTCACAACAGCCCCAGATTCAAGCACCGCAGCAAAAGCATACCTAGTGGCTTCGATGTCCTCAGCTGCTCTTGCACCTGGCTGCTGTCTCCGCCACAGAATATATCACCGCAGGTCACAACATCCAAAGATTCAAGAGTGGCAGCAAAAGCACGGCGAGTCGGTTGGATGTTCTGGACATTCCTTAGCTGCTCTTGCACCTGGCTGCTGTTTCCGCCACAGAATGTATCACCCCAGGTCACAACAGCCCCAGATTCAAGAATGGCAGCAAACGCGGCAAGATTTGCGTGGATGTGCTGGACATTCCTCCGCTTCTCTTGCACCTGGCTGCTGTCTCCGCCTTGGTCTGGATGACCCCAGGTCACAAACCGGCACCGCGGAGCCAGTTTGCCAAGATGCACAACTGCAGTCACGTCCCCATCTCGCAATCCAGCCTCACTCCGCGTCGTCAAATCGAGCTCTCTGCCAATCGCAATGAGCTTCAAGCGGCGCTGGAAATGCTGCGCTTGCAGCCTTTAGCTCACTGAGTGTCTCTGGTGAGACTTCTATGGAGTATCCATCTCCGCTGGGCAAGCGAACATCCACCTTCACGCATTCAAGTTGTAAAACACGAACCTTAGGCGCAAGAAAATGCGGAGGTCCTACTTTGAAGGAAGTTTTGCAAGAGTCCAATCCTTGGACAAGATCCTTCATGGGTTCTAAACAGTGAGGACGCGCCTAGCTGTCTAACTGGCCTTTTGTGGCCTCCCTTTCCTTCCCTTTTCCCTCCCTTTTCCCTCCCTTTCCCTCTCTTTCTCTCCCAACATTACAAATATGCCCCCCCCCCCTCTTTCCCTCCCCATGCGCGCTTTGCTTCCCCCAACCCCCTTTCGCGCGAGCGTGGCGCTCGCTCGCGCCTTGAAGGGCACCGACTCCTCCTTGGGGCGCCGGCGCAGCGCCTCGATTTTTTTTTTCGCGGCTGGCGGCGAGTGAGTGGGTCGCCTCGTCTTTTTCAGCGATAGGGAAGGAGTTGGAATCCAGGGGTCCCCTTAAAGGAAAGCATAGGGGATGGGTCTTTTTGCTGGTGCGATAGGTAGGGAACTTCCAGATATAGGGGATGGGTTATAGGCTACAGGGGTGATTCCATTTCTCATTCCCTGCTGAGCACCTGCTAGTTTCCAAAGAACCGCTCCTTTCCACCCAGGCTGTATTTGACGATGGATGGCAAGATGGCAAGGGAACAAAAACATAAATTTGCTTTAATGGGAAAAAACATGGAACTACCATCTGCGTTTTGTTTGAAAGGAGAACCAAAAAAGGAGGGGTCCCAAGACCTGACACGAAGCAAACCACTCCTGTTGCCTGTTGCCCACCGGATAGACTGGATGCGCGCACGTTCGATGCAGAACCCTCTACTATTTGGAGGCCAGGATTTGTACAACAGCTGTCCGTCCCGCTGTGATTTTACACAGAACGGACCACGGCCACACACTCGGGCAATTTAGAGGGTTCTGGGCACTCCATAATGAACTTGCAGCTGCCGCAAGCAGCCAGAATGCTTGCTTCCACTGGCTTCCACGCACCTGCCTGAATGCTTGAAACTTTGACATCCTCGATGAGATAGACAAACCTCTCATTCAAAAACGGCTCGAAGCCGAGGAAAGTCCACTCACCGGCCTGTGGAACGTGATGGCGATAGTCGTCTATAGGCGATTGAAGGAGGTGAACGTAGCACGGAGCGAACGGAGCAGCAGCTGATTCTTTGCCGTCTCCATCTGGTCCATCTGCGTGACCACAACTCGGTCGTCTTTAAAGCCGAGCTCGCGCAGCTTCGCGCGGTTGCTGAGGCATAAAGTGGTGTTCAGGTCGAAACCGTAGACCTGGCTTTTCGGGAAAAGTTTGGTCCACATGGCAAGACCAGTTCCGGTTCAGATGCCCGTCTCAGCAATGGTTGGACTTGAGATCCCGCTCTTGAGGAGCTCGGTGATGTGCTTGGAATAGATCGGGGCATAGTTGTGCTGGGCCGCCTGCATGCGATCGCCCCCTACGTTGCCATGCTCCCTCTCGCCGTGGGTGAATTGGGCCTCTGCCTCGACCAGTTCCTGAGTGTCAAGGCTCGTGCGGCCGGCGGCTGTCTGAATTAGGCTTTGAAGCTCTCCATCATGCGGCGTGGCGCAATGCTCTGCCGCACGCACACACAGGGTGGCCAATGAAAGCGCGCAGAGATAGAACATGATGGCTTTGATCCATGACATGTAGGACGTGGTTTTCCAGCTGAAAACATTGAAAACTCTTGAGCCAACATGAGGTAGCAGTTTCCGAGGACGTGCCCCAACATGACAAAGGACAAAGCAACTGCTTGGTTGTTGGAAGCCCCAGTCACATTCCGCGCTTATCTCGAAAACACCCCAAAAGGCAATAGGGGCGACCTAGTTAACCACCAAAATGGGAGGGTTCTTGCTTTCATTTCCCTTTCGAACCACAAAAACGAGGCACCGGCACAAAAGACACACCCAAGTACTCCCTGAATCAACCTATCCTTTGATGGTAAGGTTTTGTAATTTGCTGCTGGTGCTCAAGAACCGGTTGCAACCGCAAACCACCAATGAAGCGGTACCTGACTTAAAACACCTTTGAAGGCATGGATGGAGAACACGCCATGTTGCTTGTGTCTTGTTTTTGTTCCAGAAGAATAGATGAGTTGAGTACCTTCAATAGGAAGCACTTGAACATCTTCCAATTGGTGAGCCTTGAATACACGGCTTAGTGGGAATCCCCGCAAATTAACCTGGAACCCAAAAAGGGGGCCTTTCCCCAAAAGGAAATCGATTCCCAGAATATAAGCCCATGGTAGCTGCAAATTGATTACTCTCATTGCGTAACGGCTCACTGAGGATCTGCTTTATGCCTTTCCGGCCAGGGAAAGAGATTGCAAGTCCTGCAATCTTGGTGAGGAAGGTTGGGTCTTTCTTCAACGCAACAGATGCCGCCTCGCCCGCACGTGCGGTCGCGCAGCACGAGGCACAGAGTGAGCCCACCCGTGGTTTTTCTTCTTTCGTGGCCTGCCACATTCCCAAGAACAAGCAGAGCTCCTCAGATTTCTGACCCCAACCACACCTGCGGAGACTGTTCACCTTCCCCAAAGATCTCATCATGGCTTAGAAGCTAGGCAATCAGCTACCAGCAGCTACCACTTAGCTACCTTCCACCATCGAGCATTCCAAATCAAACCCCCACTCTCCCTAAAAAAGGATGAGCCTGCAAGCATTCCAAATCAATGCCCCCCTCTCCCCTCCGAAAAAAGGGCAGCCAACTGCCAGAAAAAGCGAGATTCGTGTCGACCAGCGGTGACACAAGGCCCAAACCAAAAAAAAAACAGAAAAAGCTGGGCTGCCCTCAGATCCCCGCTAAAAGTGACTAACTAAACTACCACTAAACACTAAAAGGCCAAACAGCTAAGGGATCGGATGGTTGGCTTCGCCACCAAGTTATAGGGTTTCTGCGATCGTCAAGTTTGGGGGTTGGCTTTTTAAGGGCTTCTTAAAGGGCACCCCTTTTTGGATGCTTGGCTTCGCCAAGAAAAGATCCGCCTGCGCCCAATTTCGCAGCTGCTCCAAAGCCTCCGCGTTCCGGGGAGTTTGTCAACCCCCGTCAACCCCCCCCCCCGCCCACCCTCTGCCCCGGTGTTTTTTTCTTCCCTGGCATGTAACTTTGGAGGTGGCCGAAGAATTTTGGGTTTGAAGGAATCCAAGTGGCCACAAACCAAATCACATAACAGTAGTCCTCTCCTCGAAAAGAACCCAATCCACTACATGTGTCCATGCAGCAAGGACCTCTACATAAATTTGTATATATATATATAACGCCATCGCGGCGATCCAAGTTCAAGGATGTCTAAGCCTTCTTGCCTGATTGAGAAAATGTGTGCGCGTCTGCGTCTAGCCTTCTGAATTCACTCCGTGTGTGTGTGTGTGTCTGAAAGAGACAATTAACATACACATCATATGAGTGAACATATTTAATATCCGTGTAGTTGTGTGGAAGTGTCATGAGCGCCATGCGTGAGAGTCCTTCATGAAAATTGAAGTTGTGCTGCATGTGCCAAATGGAAAGAAATTTACGATGTAGGGAACCGTCATACAACATGCAAAGTATCAGTGTGGGCAAAATATGATAAGTTCTAAGGGCTTGCAATGGAGACATGAAAATTGCCTGGCAATAAATGCATTGTGTTGAATCTTGCACTCGGTTCGTTTGGCCCACCGTCATGATCGTCTTCTAGTTCATTGCTTGTTAAATAATCATCCCAGTCCATGCCAAACTATCTTTCTGGCATTGTGTATTCTTGCACAGCACGGTTATGATCATAAAATGTATGGTCAGATCAGTCTTAGCATGTTGTCCATGGGCTGATACAAGTTGTCCATGGCCAAAGATACCTTTGCGCACCCATGCGTGTCACCTGAAGGTTGGGGACTGACTCCGGCTGGATCAAGATGTCATGCGCAAATGATCAGGTTCCTATTAGTTGGTGGTTTGGAGCCCGGTGGTTAGGGAGGGGCTCCCCACTTACCCTCTACAACCAATCACTTTCGAGGAGGTTCCCCATTAAAGCTCATGGCCACATGAGATCTTCTTGTTAAGCACCCCTTTCGCAGCTTGGAAAAAACCCTTTCCCCTATCGCAATCAGGTCACAACGATCTGGTGAGAAGGCGGTGAGTGACTCTAAGCCTTTGCTACGGTTGACCTCTGCATGTGTTCCTGTGGTCTCTCACAAATTCATCTCCGCCCCATGGTTTTCTGCCTCCACCTTTGAACCTCCAAGCAAAGCCCCAGCACTACAGTCCCCGGACATCCAAAGAAAGGTCCTTCAGATCAGAAGAAACAACAAGGCAGAGCACTCAGGTCTTGCATCCCCCAGATTACCCTCTTGATGTGGTATTTCGGGGAAGCAAGCACTTTCGAGATCGCGCACTCCAATGCTCACAACATGACAGGAATTTCAGAAAAAGCCCCACATGGTCATATGTCAAGTTCAGAAACGCAACACTCCCTTGAGAGTTCAAAAAACGACTCGCCTCGATTTGATGCACGGAAGCGATGCCATTGCCTCACCCAGCGGCCGACTCTCCAGCAAGCGCGCTTCCTCCTGGCAGCTTCGGTTCTGCGCGGGGCGAGTCGGAAGGGGTCCTCCGGGCCCCGAGCAAAAGCTTCGAGCAATGGACATCCCAAGCGGGCATAATCTCATCTGAGCCTGAAGCCAGTCCCTGCCCCTCTGCAAAACAAGAGTACGGCGATGATCTACCCTTGGGCTTTGCTTTCGGGACTCTGAATCCTATCGGCCGGAGCCTGCGTCTTGTTACGGCAGCCGCACACACCACGGCCTTCCCAAGCCTTAGAAAGCCTGAGAAAGGCCCAGGAAGGCTTAGTGAGCCCTGGAAAACTTGGGGAGACAAACTCCGGGGCGTGCGGATGTTCCAGATGTCAGACCGGTCTGCCAGGTTTCCTGGCAACTGCCAGCAGCCGGTCTGAAAACGATAGCCGTAATCCTGAAAAGGTGTTTCCTGGCAACTGCAGCAGCTGTTTCTTGTAGCCAGCAGCCGGGTTGTCTTGAGTTGACTGCTTGTCTCTTGCCTTGCTTCTGCGGCCAGCTGCTGGCTACAGGAAGCCAGGCAGTTTTTCTTTTGCCACCTGCTGTCTTCCTGTGCCTCCTTGGACGAATAAAACTCAAATCTAAGATAGTGTCTCTGTATTGTATTGTGGATCGATGCTTCCCTTGTCGTACCTTATAGAGATTGCCCGAAAGGCCAAAGAAAGAAAATCAAGACGAAGGAAGAACAAGAACAAGAAGTATAACAAGAACAAGAACGAACGCAAACAAGAAGAACAACAACAAGAACAAGAACAAGAACAAACAAAATACCAAGAACAAGAATAAGAGCAAGAGTAAGAACAATAACAACAAAATGACGACAATCACAACCACGACGACAACGACAACAACAACGACAACCACAAGCCACAACAACGACGACGACGACAACGCCTACAACGACAACGACGACAACGACAACGGCAACGGCAACGGCAACAGCAACGGCAACGACAACGACAACGACAACAAGAACAAAAACAACAACAACAACAACAACAACAACAACAACAAGAACAAGAACAATAACAAGAACAAGAACAAGAACAAGAACAAGAAGAAGAAGAAGAAGAAGAACAACAACAACAACCACAACAACAACAACAACAACAACCAACAACCAACAACCAACAACCAACAACCAACAACCCACAACCACAATAACAACAACAACAACAACAACAACAACAACAACAACAACAACAACAACAACAACAACAACAACAACAACAACAACAACAACAACAACAACAACAACAACAACAACAACAACAACAACAACAACAACAACAACAACAACAACAACAACAACAACAACAACAACAACAACAACAACAACAACAACAACAACAACAACAACAACAACAACAACAACAACAACAACAACAACAACAACAACAACAACAACAACAACAACAACAACAACAACAACAACAACAACAACAACAACAACAACAACAACAACAACAACAACAACAACAACAACAACAACAACAACAACAACAACAACAACAACAACAACAACAACAACAACAACAACAACAACAACAACAACAACAACAACAACAACAACAACAACAACAACAACAACAACAACAACAACAACAACAACAACAACAACAACAACAACAACAACAACAACAACAACAACAACAACAACAACAACAACAACAACAACAACAACAACAACAACAACAACAACAACAACAACAACAACAACAACAACAACAACAACAACAACAACAACAACAACAAGAACAAGAACAAGAACAAGAACAAGAACAAGAACAAGAAAAACTCACGTGGCCCAGAAACGAGTTCCTGCACTCTCAGCCATGGAAAAGGGAACGCCCGCCCACCAGAAAAACGGCTGGCGCTCTGACGCAACCCTTCCATCCCAACCTTTTCATCCAAAAAGATCATGGCTTTTCACCAGGTTGCCCGGTTCCATGTAGGGGGTGTCCCAGATCTTTAGGATGCTGTCTTTTTCAGGATGGAGCCCGATTCTGTTTTTGGGGGGGAGCCCTCTTTTTGCAGACTAAATGCCTTCATTCGAGGATCCCAGGGAGATTTGCCCCCCCAAGAAATACCCGGCCTTTTTGGTGCAAATGCCGTTTTTGCTGGGTGAAGGATCATTCACCGACTGACTTTCCTGAGACCAACTTCATATGGCCCATCACCATCCGCGCATCCGAAGCCCTTGGTGAGGTCGATCAAAAAGGATCGAGTCGGACTTCAATGACTTTCATGTCAAAGCCCAAGGGAGGATTTTACTTCTGCCCCAACGAGGTTCACGAAATCAATAGAAAGTTCTACGGGTTTGCTAACCAACCAACAAACCAACCAACCAACAACGCTACAAAACCAACCAACCAAACTAAACCCAACCGACCAACCAACCAACCAACAAACCAACCAACCAACCAACCAAACCAAACCAAACCAAACAAAAGCAAGCAAACCAAAACAAACCAACCATCCAACCAACCAACCAACCTTACCAAACCAAACCAAACCAAACCAAACCAAACCAAACCAAAACCAACCAAACCAAAACCAACCAAACCAAAACCAACCAAACCAAAACCAACCAACCAAATAAACAAATCAAACCAAACCAAACCAAACCAAACCAAACCAAAATCAACCAAACCAAAATCAACCAACCAACCAAACCAAACCAAACCAAACCAAAACCAACCAAACCAAACCCAGCCAAACCAAAACCAACCAACCAACCAACCAACCAAATAAACAAATCAAACCAAATCAAACCAAACCAAACCAAACCAAAATCAACCAAACCAAAATCAACCAACCAAACAAACCAAACCAAACCAAACCAAACCAAACCAAAACCAACCAAACCAAAACCAACCAAATTAAACCAACCGACCAACCAACCAAACAAACCAAACCAAACCAAACCAACCCAAAATCAACCAAACCAAAATCAACCAACCAACCAAACCAAACCAAACCAAACCAAACCAAACCAAACCCAACCCAACCCAACCAAACCAAAACCAACCAACCAACCAACCAACCAACCAACCAACCAACCAACCAACAACCAACCAACCAAACCAAACCAAACCAAACCAAACCAAACCAAACCAACCAAACCAAACCAAACCAAACCAAACCAAAATCAACCAAACCAAAATCAACCAAATTAAAACCAACCGACCAACCAACCAACAGCGCCCAATCAATCAACCCACCAACCCCAATCGAGTTCCGAACAACGCCCGACCCCTTCCGTCGAGCTCCTCCAGCTGCAGGATGCCCTGCTCCGTGGCCGCCGCAAGGTGGGCGAGGTCCGGCAGCTCGGTGACCTCGCAAGGCCGCAATCTCGTTTCGGCCGCACGTGGCGTGGGCGTCCTGAAAAAACCTCCATTGGCTTAAGTCCCCAGCGACAGATTTCCAGTAGTGACAGATTTCCAGTAGTGACAGATTTCCAGTAGTGATCAATTTCCAGTTGGTGATAGATGTCCTTTAAAGCCAACAGGGGAAAGAACAAATCTTCTCAACCCAATGGAAAAGAAAAAGGGGGGGGGGAAGGGAAGCGGTGGCCAGCGCTCCCCCAAAGCTCCCCCGAAACTCCACCCTTGCCCACTCTGCGCCTCACGTCCTCTCGCCTCAGCGGAGCGAATGCTGGCCTCCAAGATGGAGAAAGATCTTTGCGGGGAGCTTAACCTGGCATTTGGGCGTCTTATGGGGGACGCCTCAAAGACACATGTGTTGGTTTTGCTGTTCTTTGGTGTCCATTTAATGTCAAAGCGAAAAGGGCACAGCATGTTGATCAGCCCGCACTCTTCCGGCCTGCTTGAATAGCTTGTGATTCTAGAGACTCATGTAGGAAAAAGAGCTGGGGGGAGCTGCTTGCAAGGCTAGAGCCGGAAGTTGGTTGCCTCGCTTGAACACCGTCTTGTTGTTGGCGACTGTCCATTTCAGTCATCGTCAATGCAAACTCTTGCCGGGCACATCCAATGCACTGAGTCACTTGAAGACTGGCATCCACTCTTCACAGGATGAACAGGCGAGCCGCTGCCTCCACCTGCTCAGACCGAGGCTACATTGAGCCGATACAGCCTAGCTCAAGGTTTTCCGAGTCAGCCGCGGCGCTGTCCCAGAAACGCACTCCCATCAAATGGAACCACGGCCACTTGAGTCTAAGGACTAGGTCCTCCAGCAGAGAGGTTAGAACAAGGGTACCCCTTTTGGCTGTAGTCTATTTTAGTGAATAAACCCTCCCAACCAAATAAGAAACGGTAGAAGGGCACCTAGCTGGGGGACTGGAGGAAAAGTCCGCCACTTTCCTTGCATCGCCCGCTCGGCCGCCGGGCAGTGCTGGGCCTCCGGGAGGTTTTGATGGGCCTGAGGCGCACCCGCGAGTTCGCGGAAAAGCACGGGCGCAGGGAGGGGACGCAGGGAGGGGACCTCCAGCTTCTTTGAAAAATAATTGCCAGCCGAACATCACTTGGGTAGGGGGGTTGACTCTGTGCAAACGGAAAAGTCCAAGACACAAACGCCCAGATGCTCAGATCAAGTCAAACCACGGGCTACAACAGGGTCCATGCGAGGCACCCTGCCAGATCTGAATCAAAAACGTGCTTCAAGTAGCTTTTTGAAGGCTACCTGTCTGTTTGGATAGGGATGCCCACTTCCATGCTTCATGCAGGCTTAGCCCCAAAACCACAATTCAAGAATCACACAAGATCCCGAGGTCGCCAAACTCTCAGGCTCGGCAACAACCCCTTCCTGACCCCTAGCCAGGTTTTACTTCTGACGTGGCCCAAAGAGTCTTTCGGATCCAGACCAGTTGGCAGATTCGACTCTAAACACGTTCATCCCCGGTAAAAACCAAGCAAAAGGCATCATGGCCCATTGCGACAAGACTTGCTGCGTCAGCCTCGGCTTTCGCGGCCCGTCCCGACATCTTTCTAGGCTACCGGATGTAGAATTGCGACCGGAAAAGGGCGAGACTCAACTCGCTTTGGCCTCTCAAGGCATCGGAAAACCATCCGTGTGGTTAAAAGATCGAACCGGGACGCCGATTAAGATTTAAAAAAAAAAAAAAAACATGCGGTACGAGACCGGTGGTGCTTCAATGGCCCTAGGTCCAAGCAGTTTCAATGACCAAAAGATTGTTTGACCCTGAGACACAGCTTGAGACTGAGTCTCAAAAGAGCTGCGATTGTGCTACCGTGTTTCCTAGCCGCCAAAGCTGAAGTTGGATCATGTCAGGCCAGCATCTTGATTTCCCGTCCCGGTGCAGAACCTTGCTGGTGCTCAGCAGGGAATGAGAAATGGAATGACCCCTACAAACCATCCAACTGGGTGGTTTCCTTTTATTCGGGAATTTTAAAACGGTTCATTCCACGTCTCGTTCCCTACCTATCGCTCCGATCCCAAGCATAGGCGGCCTTTTGGACAAATAGGAGAAAAAAAAGCCTGGTAAATGGAAGAAACCCCACCTAAACCAGTGGAACCCATCGATTTTCAATCAAACCAACCTAAAAAGGACACCTTTCGCGAGTTTTTTTCCCGCCCCTGCAGACCCCCGTGGCTTTCTCGCGGCTCGCTTGGGCGGCTCGGGCGACTCGGGGCCCCGGCACTTCGCAGAGCGCATCTCCCTGGCCAAGGCCCACCGCCCGCAGGAAAGACCTGGGATCCGGCCGAGTCGAGCCCCGAGGCGCGCGGATGGATCTCCAGAGGCGGACACGGCCATCTATCTGGCCCCCAAGCGAGGAGGGCTGGTTTTCTTCTTCTTGTTTTTTTAACGGACCAAGAAGTGCACAAGATAGAAGGAAGAGAAAATGAACTTGTACCCAGGAGGGCAAAACCATTTTATTTGTTTCCACCCAAATACCACAGCTCCCTGACTGCGCCGTTCACAACGCTCGAGTCTGTTACGAGCTCTTCCCAGCGGGCAAACTTTGCCGCAGCCAGCTTTCAAATGCAAATTGGTGGGGCCCGTCTTCCTGCATCTTTTGCATTTCCACTTGGAACATCTTACAAGGGAATGGCTCGGATGCACCAAAGGAAAGCCGTCTCCGTTGATGCAGGGCAGTGCTAACTGCCCTTCTGGATTTGCCTGCGGTTCCAATGCCCCAGGATATCAAGCAAAACAAATGTGGATCCAACTGATCCATGGCAAACAAAAAGAAACAGACCCCGGTGCGCTGCGCAAGAGACTTTGCGGTGTCTGCTTGAGGTGCAAAGTCGTCAAGATCCCTTCCCCATGCAAGCGGCAAATGGCAGGACATATTATGGACTTGAGTATATCACCCGACTGGGGTCCGGGCTCCATGCTTGCTAAGCTGGTGGTAGGAGTCGAAGCCCAGCTGTTGAAGCTTCAAATGATGGGGACCGGGATACCAAGACTCCAACAGGGATGGAAATCTGCAACTGCGAGCTGGGAAATGCGAGGTTTGCTGGTTGGGAGCAACACTTCAAGTTGGAAATTGCTTCATTTGCCCCTCTAGGTACTTCAAGAGGACTTCGCTTCAACTGTAGCAAGCGACACTGTGCTGAGATTCAACTGTGTTCCGCATGAAGCATATCCCAGACTAGTCGCTCGAGAAAAAGCCGAAGTCCGTTAGACGCTCTGCTTCCAGGTCTGTCAAACTTGTGCACCGCCTTTGAGCCGCAGCTGCGTATTGCTAGATGGGTGTGGCTCAAAATTAGACTGCCTATCTTTCTATTTACCAGGGCTCCATTTTGGACCTATGTATATGCACATACAGGTTTTATATACATATATATATATATATATGTAAACATTCGCAGATGCATGCGCACACATTCATTCATTCGTTTGTTCGTTTGTTTGCTCGTAGGCACGTATGTGCGTACATACAAAGATGCATAGATGCATAGGTACATAGATACATAGATACATAGATACATAGATGCATGGACAGACAGACAGACCGACAGACAGACAGACAGACAGACAGACAGACAGACAGACAGACAGACAGACAGACAGACAGACAGACGGGCGGGCGGGCGGACAGACAGACAGACAGACATATGCAGAATCCTTCTATCCATGCATCCAGCCATTCATCCGTCCATGCAGACAGACTTCAGACAGACAGACGGACAGGCAGGCAGGCAGACAGACAGAGAAAGAGTGAAGTATGAGGCCAATTGCTCGATGTGTGGTTTGGTTGGTGACCAGCCATACAGGAGCATGTTGGATGCGGCACTTTGATATATTTGTTGCTGGGGGGGGGGGGGGGACAAATCTCACGGAATGTGGGAGAGTTCGAAACGAGGAAGCTGCGCTGGAGAATGCAAATGTTTTGGAGGGGCAGCGTGGGTCCTTTCCAAACTTTCTTTGGTGCGGGAAGAAGTTTTCTGTGCCACAAAGTTGATCTGGGCCACAATCAAAACCCGGGTAGATAAAGGTTGGTAAGGGACAATCCCAACAATAAATAGCTGCGGCCGCCTTCTTGATTCTTTACATGGTTCTGGGTAGACCATTTTAATACCGGGTTTTGATTATGACTCATTTTGGGTACTGCCTTCAGTGCGCGTGGAGCAGTTCGACCTGACGTTCTTCAGCGGTTTGGATCATTTCAAACCCACCAATTTGACGGTTACGGGGGAATTGTGGACATGGTATTCCATCCAATTGGCTGACACGCACAGGCTGTAAGTGCTCCTTGAGTTTCCGCTGAGTGCCAATTTCGTCCCAGCTATGTCGAACGGTGGTACGCCTTTTGCCCTTACAAGCACCTACTAACGTCGAACTGCACAAACCCCGTTTCCAAGAGGAAGGTAGTCTTTGTACAAGGGTTTGTGCACTTCCATGTTGGTCGATGGGTGGATATCTTCTTGGCTGAGCCCAAATCCCTGACAAGCTTGCCAGGACGTGGTGACAGCGTCAGTCACTGGATTGAAACACATGGAACAAACCATGAGCCCGATGATGCTCCTCGCTGCCCTAACCTTATTTGGGTGTGGCTCAAAAATGGGGTATATGTATATGTCTTTGTACACATGTGGATGTATGGTCCACCCAACTGCAACAGGAGTTTTCCTTTGAGGCCAATCCGAACGCGTTCCCAAGGCAAGGCCGGTTTTCCCACGCTCAGATCTCTCCACTCCACTCGCGCCCCCAGGCCATCAGGCCATCAGGCCATCAGGCCATCAGGCCATCAGGCCACGCGACGCCCGGCCGTAAAAAAAAAGGGCGGCAGGTCCTCGCAGCCTTGGACGCGAGTCTGACACATCGGGCTAGGGTCTGATGCTACCCTTGGCACATCCATGAAGACCTCTTGGGACATGCCGCAAGTCCGGGCCCGTGCGATTCTCTCGAAAGGCAGAGGCCTCTGAATGAGCTATGAAGGGTCTGCGATGGCCAGAAGCCTCAGCCTTTCCTATTTGATTGGCACGGCCACCTTGGTGGGTGCTTGCGATGAAGTGGGCCGCCTTCTTGGAAGGTAGCCAAAAGCACAGATCGCCGGCCCTCTCTGGCCAGAATTGCGAATCCATAACACAAGCCATCGGCTTGGGCAAACCCTGTGGCACCAGGAGTTAAGTAAGACATCGACGCTGCTCTCGGTTCACAGAACAGCCGAGAGCTCGAAAAAACACACCGTGTGTGTGGATACCCCTTGTGGATGCTAAGGACGCTCAAAGGCCCCAAAGGAGACCAACTGGTTCTTTTCAAGAATCATCCCATGTCTACTCCATGCCATCTCACTCTCCAAAAAAAAACATCCAAAAAAAATCGAGAGACCGTAGGCCGGGAAAAAACGCCAGAAGCTTCACTGTGACCCCCCCAAGACATGGTCCAGCCTCACGCCTCGCGCTCTGCCGCTCTGCTCGGTCGCCGGATCGCAGGTCACGGGGCCTTCCGCTTGGCGCCGCTGCCTGAAGCGGCGGGGCGGGAATTTCGGATTTCGCAGTTCTCGGGGGCGGAGCTGCCCTGGCAACTGACATGGGGGTTGGCTGCAAAAAGGCCAACGAAGCAAGAGGAAATGTGGTCGTCTTACAGGGGTTTAGGCACCATGTTAGCTGGTAGGCGGGTGGTTAATCATCACTTTTGGAGGGACACACACACACACACAGACCCAATTAACAGGGGGGTTCAGTACTCCGGCGTCAACATGATGAGTACCCTCCCTTCCACTAACATAGCACCTGTGGGAGGGTACCTGGAAGATGATGTTCCTCTTGAATGGACCCTCTGTCAGGTGCCATGTTAGTGGAAGGGAGGGTACTCATCATTCTTGGCTGTGGACAGCATTTACACAGAACTTTTGGTTTTTGGCTTAGGTCCATGCCCATTTGCCCATGCGCAACACACCAAAGGCATGCCTTTGTGATCTCCGGACCCCCGGAAACACACAGACCACTGCCTTGAAAAACATAGTCTTTTGCGGGTGGTAGACCCCTTGGCATCAGCATCATGACTCAATATCCATGTACTGCCCTTATATCCGGCAGGAGGCACTGGAAACTCGAATCAAGCACCAAGCACCAAGCGAGCAAAAGGCGCCAAGCAATTGGCACAAATGGCAGGCACCGAGAACTTCATGCCATGTAGAGTGCTGGGTCGCTAGGGCTGTAAGAGGCAGAAAAACACGGTCGGATTCGCGGATGGCATATGTTTTTTGTTGGGCGGCATGGCGCATCTTCACATGGCCATGGGTCAAAATCCAAATCGTACTCCCAGTGAACATCAACCAATCCCCACTAAAATCCCGACTAAAACGGGTGGTGAATTCACCTACCCACCAAAATGGGATCCCAAAACGGTTTTGACTCCACAGCCAACTGTTGTTTGGAACCTTCCCCTTGTGGGCTTTGCAGCGGGCTTTGAAAAGTTCCGAGCATGCCATGGGCTGTCATCCAGACGGTCCTGGCTCGGAAGAGGTGCCCAGGAGTAATGAGTCGGCCAGCCCACGGTGCCCACGCATGAGATCCCAAAACCCCTGGAAGAACCTCATTTTTGGACTACCCTCTTCCCACTATCATAGCATTTGTGGGAGATTAGCTGCAAGATCAGTTTCCTCTTCAAAGGACTCTTTGTCAGGTGCCACGTTTGTAGGGAGGGTGATGGAATTCATTCCCCCAGTTTCAACACCTGGCCAGCGGATGGCGCTCAGACACGCGCCTTCGTTCTTCGTGGCGATGCGACCCAAGGTTTCCAAGTTGGGCGCCTGGAGGGCGCATCCACCGTCTTCGGCAGTCTTAGCAGACCCAAAACAGGCCGAAGCAAAAAGGAAAGGAAGGAAAGTCAAGCAGAGGCAAGAAGGACGGAGGGACAGCGAGCAAGCAAGTATGCATGCAAGAAAGAGAGAAAGAAAGACAGACGGAAGGAAGGCAGGAAGAGAAAGAACCCAAAGAAAGATAAGAGAAGCAAACAAAAGAAAAGGCAAGAATGCAAGAGTCTCTCAAGAATCGAGACCCGGCCAAGTGGTTGGCGTTAGCTTTCTTTCGTTCTCCCTTCAACGCCATCCAAAAGAGGGTTCCAACCTGTACAGACATAGCCACATTTTAGCCACCTTTTTCAGGGCACCCCAGACACCACATCTCCAGACACCAAACCACATTTTCCGGCCAAAGCCCGGAGGCCTACACCAAATCTGTCAGAGTGATCAGAGGATTCAAGAACAACCCACAAAAACCCATCGAGGCTCACGGAACCCGAAGACTGGTGGTCGGCACAAGGAAAAGTCAGCCCACCCATGACGCGACACCTCGCCGCGAACGCGGTGCCTTGCTGCTTAGTGCAGTGGCCCGTTTCTTCTCCTGAACGCAACGCGACAGCCCCGCGTCGGCTCGGCTGTGTGCCGAGAGGTTTGGGGCGCTCCATGTCCAACTCCAAACCCGGTATTAAAATGGTCGACCCAGAACCATGTGATGAATTAAGAAGGCGGCCGCAGCTATCTATGGTTGGGAATGTCCCTTACTAACCTTCATCTACCCGGGTTTTGATTGTGGCTCACATTTTTTGTTGGTCTCTGCTGATGAAACCATGGATGGAGCCCATGGCCGTTGTACCCGCGACAACCGCTTCCTGCTGATCTTGCATTTCTGCAGGCAGGCCCGCAAAATGCCAATGTCACGCATGGACGACTATCACACGAGAGTCTAAGGGCCACACTCACCCCCTTTAGCCTTCAGCTGGGCAATATAAATCAGATGCCTCCCGCAGAATACCAGCTTGTATACGTTGAAATGTATTTTTGCGGATAACTCGTCCAAGTCTTAGTTCTGGGGTCCCCAACATGGACCAAACACGAGTCCCATGGTACGGTCAGCCGCTTCGCCTTTTTGGAACGGGAAGCG